TAGTACTGAAAATACACTGATAGTAATAATTTATTTTTCATTTTTTACAATATAGCACACTTATACTCCTCACAAATATAAGTCAAAATATTGAATTTTATTAAGATGATCAATGATAAAGACATCTTATATATAATGTTTTTAATATGCAGTAAATAACTATACAGTCAACTCTTGATATAGCGAACTCTTGATATAACGAATTTTTTGAACAAATATAATAAAAATACTCTTATTAAAGTGAATTGCCTAATCAAATCTCTTAAAATCTTCGCTATAGCCTTATAGCGAAGTTGAGGTCTAGGACATAGAGTTCGTTATAACAAGAGTTGACTGTAATTTAATAAGTGACTTATACAATCACTACTATCTCATTAGTCATATGATTCGATTTACAAATTCAAAGATTGGTAGTCTGCTTTATTATTAGCTTTAAAGTTCTTAGATATCACAGTAACTAACAGTTAAACAGATAATAATAGATACTTTGATGATTAGTTCTTATTAATGAATATATATAGTATTGATAAATATTGAAAATTTACTACTAAACTTAGAAAAAAGAACTTACTCTTTATTGATCAAATAACAATATCAGATGATACTGCTCTTTTTTCACTACCTGACCTAAAAATATTCAATAGCTAATTCTTTTAAAATCTCTGATTAGTTTAACGAACTTTAATGATTATTATTTTTAATGATTATAATAGATTGATTCCTATCAATTTCACTATTCTTATAATAATTTAATATGATTTAAACCACCTGTTTACATTAAAAATATAACGTATTTTACTATTAGATAGCGTTTTTCTTATATTCTGCTATTATTAGAAAAATACTTCAAATAAATTTAAATGTTATCTATTTTTACCATTTTTAGATTCTTGCTGATATGTCATAAAAATACTTACTACATGTAATACTGTAAATACCCTCTATATGAAGAGACTACTTTTAAACCTTCTAATATAAGAAATAAACATACTTCTTATTTTTTTCAATTATCTCTTTCTTTATATTTATTATTACACGTATTTTTTACCTTAGATATAGATTATATTTGTCCTTTATCTAGTTATATAATTTTTAAAATAGTCTTGTTTAATCACAAATCATTACTTGATCTAAATTTTATAATAGAATTATTTTATTCTTAAGATAACTTTCGTTCTTCTGATATTTTTAATGCTAATATTTTACTTATACTAGATAATTTAATGATTTTATTTTCACAATCAACTAACTTTTTATTTTATATTAATAGTTCTCTTACTAATTTAGGTAACTCTTTTATCCATGTGGAATTACCTGGTTACAAACTGATCTATTTAAGCCTTTATACTCCTTTAATACCTCACTTTCTCTTCTTCAATTATCATCTTCATTAGCTGAGTTAGTAGCAGCTTTAAAATAGAATATTTCTTTACCTATTCTTCTATATATAACTTATGTTTAAAATTTTATTTTATCCTATTTGGTATTTACTCTTCTGCCTATTGTTTGACAAAATCATAATGATTCATTTTCACAAAGTGAAAGAACATCTTAATGATTATTTTAATAACGCAGTAGATCAACTTGCTAAATCAAAAGAATCTATCATGTTATTATCTACTTTTACATTAGGATATAATTTTCTTTTTAAATTCAAAATCTATGTTATTATAATAATCTCAAGACAATTTGCCAAAGATTTACTCAGATCTATTAATTTCTATAATTTTTAACACCTTTTCTATCTTTATAAGTATCTTATATTAAATGTGAATTAAATAAGTACAGTATTCATTCTTAATAATAATAAACACAAATCAGTTACTTTATACAAAGCTTCTTCTCTTCACAAATTTAAAATCAAACTTTTATTAGAACTTTTTCTCATACTTGAAATACTTAAACAACGTCATCTAGATCTTTATAATATAATGTGAATTTATTTTAAATACTCATTTAAGCCTGAAACATTTGATTATATTTAGACATATCAGACTACACTACATCAAATCAAAAATATTATACTAGACATTATGGCATTCATTTATTAATACTTAATTGAATTAGTTCCAAATTCTTTTGACATAAAAGAAATCATTTTCTTCGATATATAGAATTTTGGTATTAACTATAATTTCTTCATTTTATCAAAAGTATAGTTCTCTATATATTTTCTAACAAATTATGCTACCTTCTGAAAAATAATTTGTTAGCCCTTAGCCTTCTATCTTTTATTTATTATTTCACATACACTAAAATTAAATTACTTTAAATTTATTATTGGTCTATTGTAAAATGAAAAATATCATAACATCTCTTTCTTTAATTATAAATCACACTTTAACATTACAGGTTTCTTTTCAACAACAGCATATTCCTTTGATATCTTTTCTTATCATTACTTTTAAATATAATTCTAATTAAAATAGTGATTAAACCTCTAATACTAGATAGTTAAGTCTATTTTAAATTAGTTTAGAGTAGGTTAGTCTGAAAAAATGCAAGATTAATTTTGAGTTAGTTTTCTAAATAGAAATTTTTATACTTTCTCATTTGTAATTTATAATTTTTTATTTTATTTCTAATAAAGATTATGCAAAATTACTATATGTTAAAAAAATTTTTATTTATTAATAAAAAAATTTATTAATAAAAATTAATTAATTTTAAATCTATAATAAATGTATTCATTAGATTTTCAATTTTATCAAACTTTATTTATATGTAAAATTTTTTAGTATTTACTAAATAACTTATCATTTAAATTAATAATAATATATATAATATATTAATAATATAACAAATTTTATTTAATAGTTATTCAATTTAATAAAATTAATACTTTAATATTTAAACATACTATGTATATATTTTTTATATATTATTATATTGAATTATTTAGTTAAAACTAATTAATTTAAAAAATAAGTTAATAATACTTATTTTATATGTATATTACAAAATACTACTTTTAATAAAGTTATTAAATAATAATTCAATTTTAATAAAATTGATATTTTGTTACTTTATAACAATATATTACAATCTATGTATATATATTATTATATATAATATTCTAACTTAAGTTAAATAACTTAAAAAATAAATTAAAAATTAGTATTTTTAATATATGATAAAAATTGAATAAATAATCAATAAGTAATTGATAAACAATCACGGTACTATATAATAAAATTGAAATGTTTATTATACTAGATAAAATAATATTCTTTTATATATTAAAAATATATAAAATAACTTTTGAATGATTTTATTACTTCTATTTATAAGAATTTATCAGAAATTTAAACTATAAAAAAGGTATAAATATAATGAAATTATTATAAAAATAAGTAAATTTATATTTTTAAAAATAATTTTTATATAATTTTGTAATTTATTTATAATGTTCATTAAGATAATATAAGCATTTTATAGTAGAAAGGGAGAAATTACTAAAAAAATTTTTTAAGTTAATGTTAAATCTAAATTTATTTTACTAAAAATTATATTTAGCTTATATAATAAAAATAATTTTTTGGTAATTTCTATTCTTTCTATTGTAAAGTATCCATATTAATAATTAATTAATAAAATAAAATTTAGTTAATTTTCATAAGAAATACTTTAAATACTTTTTATTAATTAAGTAAGTTGATTTCACTTAAAAAAAATACATATAATTATAATTTAAAATAGATTTAAACTTGTATCTTAAGATTAAGGTCAGAAATTTTGTTTAATATACTATAGAAAAAGGATTTGAAATAAATAGACAGAAGTAGAAAAATAAAAGTTTTTTAAGATTCATTGTTAAGTTACTTTAAACAAAATCATGTTATGTTAGATAGTTAATTTCTGATTATTAATATTATATAAAATTTTAATTAGTGATTAACATGACCAATTACTGTAATGATATATTATATTTAACATATATATAAATGAATTTTTATTAATTTGAATAGATAAATATTATATCTTTAAATAAATATATTTTTTTTAATAAAACTACTTTTAATAAGCGTATATATGGATAAATTAAATAATTTAATCCAAAATAAGCCATTAAAATGGCTATCTCGGGTAATTTGGCTTGGAAATTCAATTCACAAAGCTAAATAAGTTTAAATTAATTAAAAAAATTTATATAAAAAAATTTCCTCTTTCTTTTTCTTCAATTAATTGTAAGAAGATGAAATTAATAAAAGAGTAATTAGAAAATTTAAAAATTAAATTTTTTATTTAATTTAATTAACTTAATTTTTTTTTGACTTTATAAGCCACCGCAAAATTTTATTTGTTGATTGCGCATTAACATTTTTATAGTGACCGAGTAATTTCACTATTTTGGTATTGGGGCGCAGTTTTTTGGTGTTACTCTGATATTTCTGATATTAGTGTTGCATTCACCATTCTCCAAAAAAGCAACAAAAAATTTAAAACTGCTGTATTTACGTTCTGCTCGTTCAATAGGATTGACATTTATAAAAGTATAAAGTAACAAGTTCAAGGTGTGAAAATTTAACATGAAATTAAAAATAAGTTGTTTTCCTGTGAAGCTTTGGCTGTTAATCGAAAAGTTTTTTTTTTTTTATCGCTGCTTTATCTATTAAATTTATAAATCAATCGATAAAGGTAGTTTTTTTTATCGTGCTTTATTTGTTGAAAACTTTACTCGAAAAACAAGGGTAATATATACTTTGGAGTGACCTGATAACTAATTTTTGGTTTTGCGAATAAATTTTCCAACTCCAAAAACAATCGTAGATTTAATTAAAATGACGGTATGTTCTATCCAACGAGTGCTAAAAGTGAACGTTTCATTTTTATATGACTTTATTTATACTTCTCCCTGCTTAGACTCATTTTTATTAATACCAGAAAGCCTTCATTTTTATTTCATTTTGAAAAAAACACATTAAATTAACGTATAATTTGAATTACTTTATATAAACGTAATATAGGAAATTAGCATACCAATTACTAAAACCGAACCAATGGATTGGTCACCGGCAAAATCAGAATCCTCGTTACCTTCGCCTATAGGGTCACGTTCACGATCCGGTTCGCCTCCGCCTTCAACAACTAGAACGGTTACAATCAATTTATTCCCTCTCTCTGATTCAATAGAATTTGCTCCGAAACATTTAAGTTTCAATCCTGATCAAGAAATTAAGGTTGGCAGAGTTAGTGGAAGCCGTAATCAAAAAGAAGCTAGACAAGATAATGGAGTATTCAGTTGCGATGTTATGTCTAGGGAACATGCGTTACTGAAAGAAGAACACGGAAAAGTAATTATCAATCGTAATGCAAAATTTCTATTATCTACTTGTTAAAAAAAAAATTTAACTTTATATAATTATGCAGATTTTGATTAAAGATTTGAAAAGTACACATGGTACCTTCATTAATACTATAAGGTTAGGCGATGGTTCAGACGAGAGTGACTGGCGTGTCTTAAACCACGGTGATGTTATCACTTTTGGTCATAGTGTTAGGCGTAATCAAAGTAGGTTATATTTTTTTTCAATTTCCCTTTCGCAAGCATTTTTTTTTTTTTTTTAAAAAAAAATAAAAGATATAAATCCCTAATGATTCATTTATATCTTACAGATTTGTACAAGCACCTATCAGCATATATTTTTTACCCTAAAGAAACGAAAGACGATACACTTCCTCCAAACAAATTCAACGGAGCTACACCAAATGCATTGCCTGTTCCAAGTCCTCCCACATTTATTAAAACTGAACGTATTTCAGAAAATGAACCATCACCTTCGTCAGTAGTTTCGAAGAAACCGGTTTCGGTTGTAAGTACAGGAACTTCAATCCTACAAAGGTAAGAGTGAACTTTTTTTATATAAACATCGAGTTGCTGTTGGATTATATCATTTTCAATAAACATTTTTTTCGTTTTCAATAGTAGAAGTGAAGGCCCTGCGTCTTATTATATTGCAAAATCCGGTGGTTTACCCTCTGCTACGTCTGGTATAACCAACCCTCATGGCAACAAATTCGGTGGTCTGAATAGCTTATCCGTTACTAAACCGCGCATCACTGATAACGTCACACATACCAGTGAAGGTAAGTATAAAGGTATCGGATTCTTATTTAATATTCTTTTCAGTAACATCATTGTTTTATTTGTTTGCCAACCCCTAGCACCTGTTACTGAACCAAAACAGCAGAAACAAGAAGTTAGCCTCAATTCTAGTACAAGTGAAGAAATGTTGTCTTCTATTCAAAAGTTAAATATTGGTCAGTCTGATGAAAAAACACATATAAAAGTTGAACGTAAAGAGCAAACAGCACAAACAGCAAAATCTGATCAGGACAAACGTAGTGCTTCTACGAAAAATGATGAAAAAGTCGAGAATTCAAAAAATGTTGAAAATGTACATAAATCCGTGTCTTCTGAAAGAACTGATGAGACTGGTCCCGTAGAGGTTACAGAAGAATCAACTGTTATTCGATCATCAGTTTCCACTACAAGAACAACGGTTTCATTTGCTGCACCCGCTCCCGTTAAAGAAAGATTATCTACACAAGGTACAAGAGAAACAAAACAACCATCAAAAATCTCTCGACGGGAGAAAGATAATAGCAGGGAGAAGGATAATCACAGAGAAAAGGAAAACTACCGAGAGAGGGAGAGCCACAGCAGAGAGAGGGAGGGCCACCGAGAGAAGGAAAGCCACAGCAGAGAGAAAGAGGGCCACAGGGAGAAGGAGAGTCACAAAGAGAAGGATATTCACAAAGATAGAGAGGTTCATAAAGAGGCTCACAAGGAGAGAGAGAGCCATAAAGAGAAGGAATGCCTGAAAGAGATAGAAAGCAATAGAGAGAAAGAGAGTAATACAGATACTGATAAGTGCGAAAATGTCAGTAATGGTGAAGGACCCTCTCATGTGACCGAAGATGACACCTCAACTGCTGCTACTTCAAACATTTTACGCAAACGGAAATACGAAGAAGTTGAAGAAGAATTAAATGGACCAAGAGAAGTAATTGTTCTCAAAAAAAGGTTGGCGGAATTAGAAGAAGTTGCTATTCATGAAAATAAACGTAGAAAATGGGATATTGTATACTCTACTGTTGTTGGTATGGCGGCAGGAGCTCTTAGTGTTACAGCTGTTGCTATATTCTTTGGATAAACACTTCATCCCGTTAGATAGCCAAATAATTTTATTGGTTTTTTCCCTATGTTTTTTCCTTCCTCCCGTATATATAAGTAAATATCGAGAGTATTTTTTTTGTTTTTATTTTTACTCTGGTTTTGAAAATTGATCGCTTTGGTGTATAGAGAAATGAGAGCGGTTATATTTTAATTTCTCTTTAAATATGTATATATTGTAGCTATATTTCAAGCGATCTTTTATATAAATCAAAATTTTCCTTGTAGAATTTAATTGGTATCTCGGTGTGTATTAAGGTTGTCAATAGTTCCAATGATTTATAATAACATTTTAAAAATTCTTTAATATCTATCATATATAGTGAGTTGTAATTGATATTTTGTTTCTCAAATTATAAATCAATTGATTTAATTTTATTGTAACAAAAAATTATATAAATATAAATATAAATTTGTAAATTGTAAATTTGATAAAAAATCTTTAATAAATCCTTATTGGGATAAATTAAAAATCAAGATTATCGTTATCAAAAAAAAATTCTTTTTTTAAAAAAAAAGGTCCGTGTAACGAATCTGATCACCAGACCAAATTTGTTTTTATTCACTTTGATAAACATTCATTTTAAAATCCCATTTTATTTTTTTTCTTTCGAGTACAAAAAGCTTATATGCGAATTTCGCAGATTTAACTTTTCTTGTTGGCATAATTTGACCGCCAGCAGATATTTTTTTTTCTTTTTTTATTTACAAATATAAGCTCTGGAAGTTTATTATTATTATTAAAAAAAAAAAAAAAAATGGAGGTCACTCCCTTATTAATATTTTTAAGTTTGTTATTATTTGGTGAGTTTCTTTTAGTATAAATTTTTTTTCTTTTAATTATTATTTTTTTTTATTGATTCCAATCTATTAAAACGATTGAACAGTCGTTTTTTATTATCGACAATTTATACTTTTATATTTCCCAAGTATAAATCGTCGTTATCAACGATTACCTACAGTGTTTTCTTCAAATTCATTTCAAAATGATATAGAAAATGGACTAACTTCGGAAACCTTTGATCTTGAACAAAATATAATTGAAGGTGATTCAAGACCAGGTTTGGAAGATTCTGAAGAAATTAAAAGAATAATGGAAGTTGAACATGTTAATTTTGATCAAGCCAGATTAATTAGACAACAAAGAAAATTCAAAACCAATAATATTGATCCACAAACTGGTTTACCAAGGGATCCAAAATTAGTTACATTTTCATAAAAAAAAAAAATTGAATTTAATATCATACGTTAAAAATCATAACTTAATTCTTATATAAAATAATTTGTAATGGTGGAACCTTTACTTGTTTGATTTCGAATTCTGTTTATTTTGTAATTGCAAATTTCAGGTTTTCCATTACACTTTGTTTTTGTTTGGCGGGGATGTTTGTTAACAAATAAGTTTGTAAACCCAAGCAATGCAAATGATTATTTTGTATTATGTAATTTACAAGCAATAAAGTTGTTCCTTTAACGCAATCAATGTAAATTAAATTTCAGATGTTACTAAAAAACAAATTTCATTCATTTGATTATGCTAATTTTGAAATAGTGATTTTTTCACTTTTTAATTAAAAGAAATAAAGAGAATTTACATTAATATACCAAATAAAATAATTTTTTGTGAAATAATGTTTAAATGCCAAAGCTAAAATGCAGCATACTATTCAAGGGAAATAAAACCAGCCAGAATCTGAGGTAAAACCATATTAAATTTTTTTAAAAAATGAAGTTACCACCAAGGCTTGCTATCTAAATTAGATGTTTGAGCATCAGATCTTCGCACGTTTGATCTTGTCGATTGTGTAGGTGATTCTTGGTTTCTTGCCCAGTCATCATCACCAGAACTCTTATTATAACTTTCATTTCTCCACTTATCTCTTGGCTCGTTGTTACGACCTCGCGAACTTTCATAATCACCATTTCTTGGCTCGTTATTACGACCTCGCGAATTTTCATATTCACCATGTGCCACTTGAATGTTATCATTAGTATTCATATTCTTCCATCCGAACTCATCAACGTTTTTGGGTCTATTATTAGTATTATTCCATGTCTTTTCTGATTGCCAATTACCGGTATTATTATTATTATTATTATTATCATACTTTCCAGGTTTATCTCGAATACCCCAAGAAGTGGATGTTACATTGCGTTCATTACCCCGATCATAATAATCATCCCGTTCACGAGGATTATCTCTACCCTTGGACCAAGACGATTCTCTGTTTCCTCCTCTGTTCCTTGTGTTTTCTTGAGAATAAGTATCGCCAACTTGTTCTTGTTGCGTGTTCCAAGCTGGCTTATTCCATGAAGTCTCATTTGCCCATCCACCGCTGTTGTTGTAATTTCCTCTATCGTAATCTCCACCACTATTGCTATCAGCAGTACAATCTTTTGACATGTGACCTTCTTCGTTACATTTATAACATTTCCGTCCTAACAAATGTACAAAAATTTATTTATAAATAAATATAATATGATAAAAATCATGAGCACCTATCCTTACCGCCTCGTTTTGGTTCTGGACAGTCGCGCGCTGGAATTAAAAAACTTTATTTAATTTAAAATAACATTGAACAGATAAATGTTAAAAAATAACTAACTACTCTTACATATATGCCCTTCACGATTACAATTATGGCTATAATATAGATAATAATTTATTAATTTATTAAATTTACACACAAAAAAAAAGGTTGGGCATTTCTTACCAGGTTTGGTTATTTCGAAAATTTTTTTGATCATCTTCACCATCGTTACCTGAAAAATAATAATTGATATGATGAAAATTTTTCTTTAAAAAAAAAAAAAAGTCCAAAAGAAAAAAAAAAAATATGTACCTTTTTCTTCACAATCGCGAGAAATGTGCTCAGTTGAACCGCATTTGAAACTAAGATTTTCAAAATTAATATTTAATAAGAATAATAAATTCAGTGAATACGCAAATAAGATAATTACCATCCTGTAGAAACTTTACGATCACGAGCTAAATAAAATAAATAAAATAAAATAATGTTAATAAAATAAAAAGATTTAGGAGGAAGGAAAAATGAATATTTTAAAGTTCCAATTAACCTTCTGCATAATAATCGCGTCGTTCTTCTTGGCAATATCTAAGGACATAAAGATTAAATTATAAAAAACATGAAGATTTGAATGAACAAGAATAATTGTATATTATATATAATACTTTGTAATATGTTCGGATGATTTGCAATTTTGACATGTTAAGTATGTATGTTTTTCGATCTCTTTCCTAGGTTCTGGACATTCCCTATGAAATCAAAAAAGAAAATTGGTTGAATATTAAAATATATAAATGAAATCTAGCAAAAAAAAAAATGAGTACCTTGAACTATGGCCTTTTTGTTTGCAATTGAAGCAGAGTGGCGAAACCCGATCATCCACTATAAAACCTGAATCAGCTAACCATCGAAAATTCTCCTCCTCATTTTGAGCGCGATTCCCGGCTGTACGAGCGAGACGGGACGGCTGGCCCATTATTATCCTAGCGACATATTTTTCTTTGATATTTCCCTGAAGATCTACTAAAACCTGAGTAAATGGTATTTCCGCGCGTTCCTTTAAAAAGATAATATTTTTTGTTAACTAAATTAACATTATGAATATTAATTATGAATAAAACACTTACCAATGCAACAATTCTGCCATTACATTTTGAATCTCTTAGTTTCTTTTCAATCGACTGGAACGTATCCTCTGGAGCCGTCTTTGCGTATATTTCAAACGCTTCTTTGAAATCATCGGCATCTTTTGATTTATCAGCTTCAAGTAATCTTTGCCATGCCTCTTCAGATGAAATATCGGGATGTTTAGAATTAGAAACTAATAAATAAATAAGATGTTAATACGCGTAATTATAAAATAGGTCATTAAATATTTTTTTACAATTACATGGACTATGAGTTGTCGGACGAGGTCGTGATGGAGCACCGCTGAATCCACCTTCTTCGGTACATTCAGAAGAACGATGTCCAGGTTGTTTGCATTTGTAACTATTATATTAAGTAAGGTATTAGCTTAATCCTGACGAATAATCAAAAAATTTTAATTTAAAATCATACCAAGTGATGCTTCCACCTTTACCACCGTAACCGCCATAGCCACCATAACCACCATCATCCTCTGTGGTTTCATGCGCATCCTCTTTACAATCTTGTGGACGATGACCTGGTTTATTACACTTATAGCTAAATACACAAGAAATGATTTAGTTAATGCTATTTTTTTTGGAAAACGACCATAATTATATAGCAATACACACCAAACACTACCGCCGTTGTTATAACTTCCGCCATATCCTCCGCCATATGCACCTCTACTACTTTCTTCGGTACAATCTCTGGAGAAGTGTCCTTCTTTGCCGCATTTGTGACACGTTTTTGCACCACCGTATCCACCACCGTACCCGCCGCCGCCTTCGGTACAATCTCTGGAGAAGTGTCCTTCCTTACCGCATTTGTGACACGTTTTTGCACTAGCGTATCCACCGCCGTATCCACCGCCTTCGGTACAATCTCTGGAGATGTGTCCTTCCTTGCCGCATTTATGACACGTTTTTGCACCACCATATCCACCACCATATCCGCCGCCTTCGGTACAATCTCTGGAGAAGTGTCCTTCCTTGCCGCATTTGTGGCACGTTTTTGCGCTACCGTATCCACCGCCGTACCCGTCGCTTTCGGTACAATCTCTGGAGAGGTGTCCTTCTTTACAGCATTTGTGACATGTTCTTGCGCCACCGTAACCGCTACCACCACCGTAACCTTGTTTCTTCTCACGACATTCACGAGCAAAATGACCTAAAGAAATAAGAAATTTGGAAAGGATTAGAAATAATTGAATAAAAAAATTAAAATGGAAATCGAATTTCTAGAATCTTAAAAACCTTCTTGTCCGCAGTTTCGACATTCACGGCTTCCATGACGATTATTATCATAAGAATTATTTGCGCTCCCACCATATGAATCACCATACGAACCACCATACGAATCTTCCACTTTATCATTATTCGATTGCCCCCATGGTGTTTCTTTTATTTCATTGCTTACTCCTAACTCCTTGGCAAATAAAGCCGCCTGTTTGGTCCAGTCATTCGACGAGTCTGAGGGTTTAGAAGGATTTCCACCCCATGAATCAACTACATTTTGCTGTTCAGGCTGATTGGCTGTAGCATTCCCTTTGTTCGTTGCACCCCATTTTTCATTTGATTTTGGAGCTTCTTGTAGCGGCTTAACAGGTGCTTTTTGAGGAATAGCAGCACCCCAACCAACATCGTGAACTGGTGGAGGGATGACAGCCCAACCATTATTTTGTACGGGAGTTTTTTGGGGAGACGGGGGAATTTGTTGAGGAATTTGTTGAGGAGTTTGTTGAGGAGCAGCAGAACCCCAACCAACATCATGAACTGGTGGAGGGATGACAGCCCAACCATTATTTTGTGCGGGAGTATTTTGTGGAGACTGGGGAATTTGTTGAGGAATTTGTTGAGGAGTTTTTTGTTGAGTTTTTTGAGGAGCAGCAGAACCCCAACCAACATCATGAACTGGTGGAGGGATGACAGCCCAACCATTATTTTGTGCGGAAGTTTTTTGGGGAGACTGGGGAATTGGTGCGGGAGTTTGTTGAGGAGTTTGTTGAGGAGCAGTATTACTCCAACCAACATCCTGAGCAGGAGGAGGGATGGCACTCCAACCTTTACTTTGTGCGGGAGTTTTTTGGGGAGACTGGGGAATTGGTGCGGGAGTTTTTAGAGGAATTTGTTGGGAAGATTTTTGAGAAGATTGTTGAGTAGTAACCCAACTATCATCTTGAGCAGGTGGAGGGATGACACTCCAACCATTATTTGGTGCGATATTTTGATCAGAAGTTTGTTGATTAGTAGTAACCCAACTATCGTTTTGTACCGGTGTCTGTTGCTCATTACTTTGTGCGGAGGTTTTTTGAGATGTAGTAGTAATCCAGCTATCGTTTTGTGTTGAGGTGGTGGTAGTAGTAGTAACCCAACTATCATCTTCTATTGGTGTTTTTTGAGGATCAGTAACAAGGCAGGGTGTGTTATTGGAAACAGTAATATAACTATCAGTTTGTATGGGTATCTTTTGAGAATCAATATCCAGATCATCATTTGAATTTAGTGTTTGTTGAAGATCAATACCTAAGCTAACGTTTTGTGCGGGCGCTTGAGGAGTGGTGCTCCAATCAATGTTCTGTGCAGGTGCTTGAGGAGTGACATTCCAACCAACATTTTGTGCAGGTGCTTTTTGAGGATCTGTACCCCAATTATCATTATTTGTAGGTGTTTTCTGAGGTACCGTACCCAAATTATCATTTTGTGTTGAATTATTTTGAGAAACAATCCAACTATCGTTGTTCTGCGCTGGTACAGGATCCAAATGATCATTTAGTGCAGGCGTTTGTTGAGGTGCAGTATTAAAGTTATCAATTGGTTCAAGTGTTTCTTGAGGAGCAGTACCAAAACTATCATTTGGTTCGGGTGTTTGTCGAGAAGCAGTGTCAAAACTATCATTTTGTTCGGGTTTTTGTTGAAGAGCAGTACCAAAATTATCATTTGGTGTAAATGTCTGTTGAGAAACCGAACTAAAGTTATTGTTTGGCGAAAGTATTTTTTGAGAGGTACCCAAATTGTTATTTTGAGACGGCGCCTGTTGAGTAGCAGTATTCAAATTATTAGCTTGTAAAGGTGCGGTGCCCCAATTATTGTTTTGTGAAGGTGTTGGCTGAGAAACGGAACCCCAACCAATATTTTGTGAAGGTGTTATTTGAGAAGCGGTACCCCAATTATTTTGTGAAGTTGTTTGTTGAGGAGTGGTCCATTCAATATCTTGTGAAGGTGTTGGCTGAGGAGCGGCATCTCGATTAATATTTTGTGAAGGCGTTTTTTGAAGAGTGGTACCCCAATTATTATTTTGTGAAGGTGTTTGATGAGAAGCGGCAACCGGATGACCGTTAGTAATTGCGTTAGATAGATCTTGTGATATCGATTGATGAAAATTTTCAATTTGTGAATCGATTATACAGGATAACAATTTTTCTTTTGACGCAATGATCTTTGACAAATCAATTGGGTCCGTTTGAACTTCAACATCACGGAATTTCTTTTCATGCAATTCTTGAGATGTGGATGATGTTAATGTTTCAACAATTAATGGTTCAACAATTATTGGTTCAACTTTTGATTCAACGATTATTGGTTCAAAATTATCTTTTTCATTACATACATCTGATGAATATTAAACATATTAATATTGTAATGACTTATTGTTACGATAATATCAATCATTATCAAATATGGAATTTTAAATTACTTGGTATTTCACATTGTATTTCATCTTTTGAAGGTGAAGAAACTGAATTACTCGATTGTGATATATTCAAGGTATGAACATTACGGTAATTGGGGTCCCAATGTTCATCATCCAATATGTGTTGTTGTAGTTTTTTTTCAATCTTTAAGAAGTCGTAAGATTGTTGGATACCAGCCTGTAATGCAAGACTCTTTTTTTTAAGATAATATACAATAAAAACATTTAAACTAATCCTTGACAAAAAAATTTTTTATTAACGAGATAAATAAAAAGAAATGATTCGATATACATACGGTTAATTCCTCCTCTTCCTCCTCGCGTTGATAATCAAGATTTAATGGGGAACCTAAATCTACGATATTAGGAGGAGGTTCATTATCTGATGATTTTGTGGGTTCTTCTATAAGTGGGGCTTCTTTAGGTGAGGATTTCTTTGCCCATGATTGATCGACTTTGACAATGTCATTTCTTGAAACCCACGAATTTTCTGATTTATTAGGTCCCCATGAATCATGGGTGGGATCATTGGTTTTCTTGACACCCAAACTGTTTTCAGAGGGAGCGTTAGTTCTAACAGATCCGACTGGCGTTCCCCAGCTGTTTTCTGGTTGTAAGGTATTTGACTTATTTGTTGGTGCCTGAGACCAAGAGACGTCGGTGTTATCAAGGCCTTGAGCGTTATTACCCCAATTATCTTGGGCCATGACACTGAATAAAATAAAAATCTGTTTTTTTTTTTTTCTTATCTGTTTTATTTTATTTTTTTGGGACGAAAAAAATCAAGGAAGATACATAAAATAAATATATAGTGAGAAGATAAATTTAATTTTTTTTTTTTACTGAAGGGGGTAAAAGGAGGAAAACAAGAAAATTTGCAAGTTTAAAGCGTGTTTTTTTCCCTAAAAAAAACGGCTTTTCTTTTTTCCCCCCTACCTTTTAAAACTTTTTACTTACCGTCTTTATATATTGACGCGAAGAGTGGTATAACTCGAATTATAAACGTAACGTATCTCACGTGAAAATGCGCTAACTGGATACAGTCTTTATATAAAGAGAGAGAGTTTGGTCAAAAGAGGGAAGGAAATATAACCTCTTTTTTTTTTTTTTTTAAAAAAAAAAAAGATAATAGATATATGTATATAGAAGATTGATTGAATAAGCCACCGGAAAAAGTCAAAAGATGGGACTTAAATATAGGATTATATCACCATAATCACGTTTAATATAGACATTTATAAAAAAAAAAATCATTTGAAAAAAAAATTGAGAATCATTTGAATTTTGCGTAACAAGTCATGTGATTTTATGAACCAAGAATTATTGGATTTTTTGATTGTTACTACGCACAGACCTCTAAAAAGAGATAATCTCTTACAAACCTAAATTCATGTGCGCGCCAACCTTCTATTTACAATATATGTTTTTTTACATAATATTTTGATGAGGAAATCATTACAAATTAAATCTTTTTCATTTGCCATCGATAAATAATAATATTTCGATGTTTCCCGAAGAACAACTCTCGAGTTCACATATATTGCATGAATCCAATTCGAAAATAATATCAGAGAAAGGAATTTCTGACCCAATTAACCATGAAAAAATAATCTCATCTTTATAATTGCCCAGAGACTTTGTGTCTTATCAACTTTCTTTATTCCATAAAAAAAATCCATTGATATACATCCGTCCGATTTGTTTATGAAAATTTTTTCAGAGATGATCGTCACTTACTTAATCATGTCACATTAGGGGGATAAAAGACAATCGAAAAAAGTGGGAACCATTTTAATTTTTTAAGTTGACCCGTAACAGGTTACGGCTTGCAGGAATTGAAACCATTATCACATGCATATATATATATATGTAAATATATATATGTATATTTTTTGTTGGTTGAGAATTATAATAACCTTTACTGACCCGAATTAAGGAATTATCGGAAAAGTTCAATTATTTCTACCAAACACAAAATACCCAATAAAGTTATAAAAAGTTTCGATCTCGTTCTTGCTTTCCAATTTCTCCTTTTTCACAACCATCAATCATATGGCTTCCTTTGCTCAAGGCGTGTAACGTGTAGTCATTTCCAAGAATGTTAACAAACAAAATGACTTTGACTCAACATGAACATGGTAAACAATGATATTTCTCATTCAAGTCACAAACATTACCTCATGGGCGCAGCCATACCGGATCTGGCACGGGTAACAACGCATCCGATCTAGTCCGGAGCCGCGTTCTGTTCCCATTCCTTCAATATTCGAAAAGATCATATCGTTCTTTATAAATGTGGGATTTGTACCCTTTCGAAGTTACTCGATTTTATAATGATCGCAATTCATTTATTATACGTTCCCGAAAGTCTAAGTTTACTTCACAATAAGCTATATCCCTAACAAAAAAAAAAAAAGTTTATCGACGTTTGTATAATAAATAAGATTCAATTCCTTACAAGTGCTTTTTTTATCTTCTACTTTCACCCGACATCATTATTTTGGTGAGTATGTTTTTCTTTTTTGTAATGAATTATCTTAAAAATAAGGTCAATTATAACTTACCTCTTAAAAAACTGTGCCTAGAAACAAGATAAAAAAATTTCAGCCACGGGTAAAGAAACTAATGAGGTTTTATCATTGGGAGTAACCTTCAGTGCTCGATACTTAATAAATAAAGAAACGTTGGAAAAAAAAAAAAAAGTCATTGATCATGAACGATAAAGATCGTAATATAAATAATGGTTGGTCATATAGTCCCTCTGTAAAAGAGGAAGTCAATATATCATCCTATCCACTTACAGAGTGTAATGATGTAACGAACCATTCCATCATAAATAGGCATCGGCCTAAAGTTTGGGCCCAGGTACATCATTCATCTGGAATTCTTCATGATTTTTGGTTCCTTTGCATTTTGTAATGATTGTAATTTTACACTTATTCTTCTCTTAAAAGACACGACAAGAACTTTGTGAGACATTAAATTATTTTAGAACTTATCAGAGCGGTGTGTATCATAAAGATAACGTAGTTTATTCGTATCTTATGGATGCATTTGGTGCGAAGCGAGATGTATGCAATGGGCGCGTAATTATATCGCATGGGTAATATTTATTTCACGTTCTTCAATAAAAAAGAAAGTTTCCTTGTCAAATTAAAATTAGACTCTTTATCTACTTCTTTTTGAAATAATTGTTTAGTGGGGGTAAAAGCTCTAAACAGAACAATGGTAGATACGGGCTTTTTGATTCGCAATTAACCACTGACGCTTCGGTTAGCTCTCTGCTGAACAATTTCGTCGATAAACAACCGGTGATCATTATCGTTGGTAATAAGTGCTCAATTGTTAAATTCCAAGTTCCTGCACGGTTTTGCGTACTTGGGTAATTATCAATTCATGATATTTTTTTTTTTTTTAAAAAAAAACACCCCCCCCCCCCATTGATATTTCAAGCTAACGAGATGATCTTATGACAGGATGTATCTTATCACGCACGCGTGGGTTCGTATTGTAATGTAATAATTAACCTAACTGAACATTCATTCAAATTTAAGAGTACCACGTTTTCAAAATTATTTGATTACAGCCGGAATATGAAGTCGTCAATGAAATTAATGATGATGATTTGACAGATGAGGAGGTTTTAATCAACGACTCTTTGTTTGTTAAACCCAAAACCAAGAAACGTAAATCTGTGATAAAGCATTTCGTTCGTTGGAAATTTCGATTTGAATGGATGACCAACCAAGAATTTGAACCTTGGTGGGAAACCCCCGTGGAGACGATGATGATGAACACATTGATGATTGATACTCCAAGTTACAATATATGTCTCGTGTGTGGAAATCCTTCCATTCAGTTTTACGACATTTGGATTTGCCTCAATCATTTATGCAAACTGTTTTGGAAGGTGTGAAAACACATTTTTACACTCATTGATTGGTATATATTTTAACAAGTTTTTTTTGTTTTTTATAATTTTTTAAAATTTGTAAAAACCATCAGGTTTGGAATTCGAACCAAAGAAATTGGGAATTCGCTCCACAAAACCTTACTTACAAACCGACATTTTTAAACCCCGGGTTTGTTCCTAAAGAATTGTTGAAGAAACCGCTGCCATTTAGCATTGTTCCTCCTTTGATACCCACTGCTCAATTTGGATTTGACACTTACACTTCGCTACAATGGAAAGGTTATCACTGCCGAAGGTGTGGAAGGGTATCATGTCGCATTAAATGGAATGGTTGGGAGTGTTTTAACTGTCATGTAAGTATTAATGATTTTTGAAATGATTCCCTGAATGAATTAATTAATTATTACACGATTATTGTAATAGAAAATACAATCTGCGCCGAGATTGATTATCGACAAATCAATGTTGGTCGATCCTTACCGACCAGTCTTCACCGGCCCAGCCACAGATTGTGATGGGTCTATCTTAGAGGGCAGTGATATTTTTCGAAAACGAACCGTTTTATCTGATGGTGAAATTTTAATGGAATACAAATTTCCAGAAGGTGGACATGTGTTTCATTATGTGTCGAATGAAAAAACCAATAAGTTGCCCGACATGTTTTTGAAAGAATTTCAGAAAATTGATTGTGCAAATTTGAAAAGACATCCTGTTAAACAATTGTTGAATAGGATGGGATCTTGTTTGTTCTCGAGGCAATTCACGCTTAACATCGGAGCGCATTATAAGCAAGCGCTCGATTTGGATACTGTACCTTGGTCAAGTGCCCCGAAAGTATGCAAGGACTCTTTTGTGTATATGCAGAACATTGTCAGGAATTTTATTGTTCCAAAAGCCAAATTCAACCAAATGCTCTCGGCTATATACATGGAAGGTCAAAAAATGTCATGGCATGATGATGGTGACAAAGGAGTTGGACCGGTCATAGCGACCCTTTCACTAGGATCCTCCGCGGAAATGAAATTTCGTCGAAAAGTAAAAAAAGATAAACTCGTGAATGAAGTCGAACCAGCTGGAAAAAATGTTGAAATTGCGAGTTTAGAAACAACAGAACGTGAAGTTGAGGCCTTTTCTACATGTTTAGACTCCAATAGGAAAAGGAAGTTAATGAATAACGAGGGCACTTTCCAAGAAAATCAGGATAATCCCAATGCAAATGGAATTAATGAGTCCAAAAAAGGAAGGAGGAAGAGGTTCTCTAGAAATGCGGTAGGTAGTAAAATCAAACCTCAAGTCGAACAAGAATTGGAAAGTGCTATGAATGTTCAATTACCTCCAATTAGAAATTTAACCACTCCTGAAGAGGATAAACTACCCGAATTTTCAAGTATTGTATCAAAATTAGAGGAATCCACGAATCGATCTTCATACCTGCCTATTGATATTTCTAAGGTATATATCAAAAGGAGAATTTCAGGTCCCGAGTTGTCATTAATTTTGCATCATGGAGACTTGATAGTAATGAATGGTCAAGTTTTACAAGATAATTATGATCAGTAAGTATTATTATATATTTTATAATTTTTATAATTTAAATTGAAAATTCTAACAAAAACAAATTAATTTTATTTTAGTATGGTTATTCCTAAGGGATTTCGCATTGTCTCAACTATTCGATACATTGAACAACAACAACAACAATAATAATAATTTTCTTTTTTACTCCCACATATTATTTTTTTATATTAGCATTGAAAATTTATTAAAGTCATGATTAGAATGTTTGTTGAATAAATTTGTGGCACAGAAAAATAATTAGATCCTCGATATCTTTTTCACGTGAACTTAAATGATCTTTACCAATTAAAGGATAATTTACTGTTACATTTTTTTTTACACGTGTTCTCTCACTATAAAATAAATTTGCTTCATGCACATGTTCCTTTAAAAATATTATTACAACCAATCGAGACACGAAACTACCGACATCTTTCTATAAATATATGTACTATGCAAAACTTTATTAATAAATCACAAATAAAAGATCAAACAATGCACTCTCGATAAAAAAAAAATTACAAATAAAATAGATTAATAATATTATGTACAAAATCTAAAGAAGAATTTATACTCTAAAGAAAAAGAATGGAAATGGCCACCTTACCCCCAAAAAAAATTGTCAAAGTAAATTATCCAATTGTTCGTTTTTTGATTGTTATGGTATTATTATTATTATTATTATTATTATTATTCATTATTTTTATTATTGTTTATTTTTTTTTTTTTATTACTTTTTTTTAAATGTTGTTTCCACCACCTCCATTTAAACTTTGTGTTTGATTATTTGTAACTGATGCGGTTGGTTGAGATTGATGTGGTTGATGATTATTGGTCGTGCTTGGATTTGTAACAGTTGTCGTTATTGTTGTCATTGTTGCTGGTGTTGTTGTATTTGCAGTTTTGCCACAAACGTTTTGTGCCATACAGCCATGTTGATTTATGTATCTTAATAACGCATCTTTAATATCTTCTTTTCTCGCTGGCTTCGACACAAAATCATTCATACCACTTTCTATACAGCGAAACCGATCATACCATAACGCATTTGCTAAAAATTATAAATGAAATTTGAAGTTGAAAAATCAATATATATTTATATTTATATTTATGATAAAAGACCCTCGTTCTTCATTTACCTGTTAACGCGATAATCCACGGTCGTCTCATATCTTGAAATATATTTCGAATACTCTCGGTTGTCTGAAATCCATCCATGTCGGCCATCGAAATATCCATAAATATAACATCATAATCTTTATTCTCACATTTGCTTATCGCGGCTTTTCCATCTCCCGCGATATCACACGACTGATTTAATTTTCCAAGTATACGCGACGTAACCATCTGATAAATTTAGAAATATATATATATATATGAATTCACTCCGATTTGAGTTTTAGATAAAGGTTAAAAGCACATCACTAACCTGATTTATGACATTGTCTTCAACAATTAACACATCTAATTTAGGTATTTCCGCGTCAATAGTACCAAATTTACCATTTAAATCGATGTCAAGGTCTTCATAAGGTAAAAGGAGTGGCGATATGGCAGTTGTGGTGGTTGTATCATTATGTGAAGCTGTCGCTGCAGTGGGTGAATTAGTAGTTAATGTTCGTGGTGAGGAGGTAAATGACCGTTTTGGAGTATTTATGGGTGAAGATTTTTCACTTCCTGAAGATTTTGTAGTAAAAGTGGTCGATAAATTTGAAACCGATGATGATGGTGAAGTAGTTAATATAAATTGTCGAAGATGCTCTCCAGGTCCAGAACTTTTTGACTGTCCATTTGACGATAAAGATCCTTTACTTTGTACTTGATCTTGATTCTCGTTGTCCTTGCTTAAATCTATTAAAGGTCTTTCCTCACTTTCAATTGAATTATCCCGAGAATTATAATTATCATAAAATTTATTATTACCATTTATCATCATTGAACCTTCCTTATTCATTTTTATAGACCCTGTCATTGTACCCATCACATTTGAATTTTCTTCGTTATTGCCTGATTCTCCCTCTAAAAATTTGAGCATAGATTTAAATTTTACAGGGAGAGAAGAAAACAACAAATTATCTCCATCTAATTTGTATTTATTAGATCTTTGAAGCGATTTATTATTTACCAATACCATTATTGGTATAGCTGACCATCTCTCATGTTTCAACATTTCTACTTCATTATTTTCAACTAATAACTGAAAATTTATTATTAAAGCATCCAAATGTTCATCTTCAGTTATTTGTTTCAAAGATGTGATAACCTTTGGCGATCTTTGCAGACCACATCGATCTAATAATTTTACGAGGCCTGTCTCATTACTTTCATGTTTTTCCAAGATAAATATAGATTTTTGACGGAAAAATGGAGACAAGGATGGATAAGATGGACTATTTGGATCGATATCAAGTTCAACACAAAATATCATTTTCGTTCCACTATTTGCCGAAGTGTTTGGTTCAACTCGTATCTCTCCATTCATTAATTTAACTAATTTCCTTACAATCGCTAAGCCAAGACCTAATAAATTATGGAAATTATTATTAAAAACTCATTCTTATTCTTATGATCATCATCATCATTATTATAAAAAAAGTGACATGCACCTGTTCCACCATATCTACGCGTAATACTTGCGTCAGCTTGCGAGAATTTCTCAAATAACTTTGGTAAAACTTCCTTTGATATGCCTAAATAATAAAAAGGAGGAAAAAAAATTATATGAAGAATTCGAGAAATGCTATATAAATATATATATTTTAAATTTCATTTTACTTACCGATACCAGTATCGGTAACTTCACCTCTAATTTTAACCTTTTTAACATTTTGTCTTTCAATATATTCACTTTCAATTGAAAGGACAACATCTCCGTCTCTTTGAGTGAATTTACATGCATTCGACAATAAATTCACGATGATTTGTCGAAATCTAGTCATATCTCCTACAACGTTACAGGGCACTGTATTATCAATCATATAATTAATACGTGGTCTAGTGGATTCTTGTCCTTGAAGTGATACTATATCTAATGAATTCTCAACAGCTTCTTGTACACAAAAAGGTACATGCTCCAAGTGTAATTGTTCCTCTTCATATTTAGAGAAATCCAAGACATTATTAATGATGGCTATTAGCATATCTCCACTCTTTTTGATGATTTCCAACATGTCCCGCATTTCAGTCATCTCTTGATTTGATAAATGTGGCATTTCCAATAACATTGAGGTTAACGCGAAAATCGCGTAAAGAGGCGTTCTCATTTCATGTGACATAACTAATTAAAAATGTTCAAAAAATTATCATACTTGTATTTATATAAAAGCACATTTTTTACGTGTTAAAGATTAATAAAATTACCTGCTAAAAATTCACGATGAGCCTATTAAAAGCACAATGATCAATAACTGGTAAAATTTAAAATAAATAAAAACTCATTAAAACTTCATATACCTGAATTGCGGAAGCTTCTTTTTTAGCTTGAATTAATGCATCATTTTGCTCAGCAAGTTGGTAGATACGAATCTAAAGATACAATAAGGTTTTTCTTTCTTTCTTTTCTTTTCTTTTTTAAAAAAAAACTTTGCATATGAAGATCTTTTTTTATATTTATTTTTTATTGATTTTACCTTGTCTTGTTCGATTAAGGTGGCTTGAGCCAAAGCAATAGAAATTTGTTCAGCTAAATCTGCTAGGAAGATGAGATTGTTTTGAGTATTTTGAGTCCATTCTTTATGCGACTTAAATTCAACCTGAGCCGTATTATTCCAACGTTGGATTACAATAATGCCAGATTCATTATCAGACATTTTAATTGGGACAAGTATAACCTTTTTTTGTTTCAAATAAAAAATATTTTAATTAATTAAATATTCAAAAATCCCGTCCGTCATAAAATTATATCAAACATAAATACAATACCCTATCGATATTTTTATAAGTTCCATCCAAGTATAAGTCATATAATTCAGTATCATTTGGACCTAGTAATAAAGGTTTGCCTTCCTCCATAGCATAATTGATAGTACTACTATCAGGATTCAATTGAACATTGATATTTTTATGATATTTGTGTTCGCTTCTAATGTAATCCTGTACAATTCTCCAACCTCTGGTCTTTGAAATAAATATTTGACATCTATCAGAGTCAAAGATTCCGCATACTTCAGAAGCAGTATTATGATAAATAACTTCTTTAGATAAAGTAGCACGAATAGCATGGGTAACGCGTCTAAAATTTGACATTATTTGATTTTCATCGATTAAAGATTTCTGCACGAGTAATGTTTGATTTAATTCATCTTCGAATTGAGCTGCCAATAAAGGTAACTCTAACGCCTTCGGAATAATTACGGTTAATGCTGCAGCCGTACTGAGTGAGATGACGGCAGTGATTACTTTTATAACAGCGGAAAGTACATATGTTTGATGCCATGGCATCCAAGAAGCAACAATATGAGTTGTACCGCATAATATGATGAAAGCACTGAATAAACCAAAAACCGAAGGAAAGGGAAGTCTAGGAGCTATTTTATAAAGATAAAAAAGGGATTATTAATATGTATAGAACGTCCAATAATAAAGATAGAACTCCCAAAGTCATGTGACTACCTACCTTTCCTCATGAAATACATTAGTTGAACTGGAATCGTATAATATGCGAAAGCAATCGATAAATCAATTATGCATAAAAACACTGCGAGACCTTCACCTATTCATATATAATGTAACAATAAAGTAAGAGAGGCGCGAATCGGAAAATATAATGAAATGTCAGAAAAAAAATTTTACTTAAATGCCAAGAATTTTGTGTAATGAAAAGACTTACTTAATGGCATGAGACAACGGTCGCCTTCAATGGTTAGAAGTTCATTATTTTTAGGCCATCGATTTATATTATCAAATTGAAACATTTCAAAATGATAGTCACGACAATTTTTGTTCCGAGGCAATGATACTTTTAATTCACATTAATTCATTTTTTTTTTTTAATTATACAAAGTTATTAAAAAAAGGTTGTATTTATTTTATTAATTTTAATTAAATTAAATAATAGAAAAAAAAATATATTATTATTATTGTTAAAATTGTTTATAAATAACCAAATAACCAAACTTACCAGTTCTAATTAAACCAACACCTTCCGAATAATTTAATTGAGATGGCATTAAAAATCTTTCGCCACTTAAAATTAGATAAGAATCAGGAATTATAAAATTATCATCTACTTTACCAGAACCTTCAGTTCTGATAAAGAAAGTGATCAGATTTGGTTCGCTAAACCAATGACCACCTGTAAATTCTAACTCATTTAATGATTTTTTTGTAGCGTAAGTTAAACTTGTAGTATCATCGTTTTGTGAAGTTGGCATAGCAGAAACAGACATCGTCCCAGCAAACATGATATAACATAACAAAGGCATTAAAAGAAGACCATTAAAAAATAGCATTAAACATTGTGCCATAGTTTTTTTTTGTTTTTTTTTAAATAAACTTAATTTTTATTCTTAATGCTTTTTGTAATGTTTCTTATTTCCGCAATTATAATAAAAGGAGTTAAAAGAAAGAAAAAATTAGTAGGAAATGAAATAAGAGGGAAAAATAGGAAGGAAGAAAAAACCAGAAGTCGAGAAAATTTTATTGATTACGAACATCAAGAAATGTATAAAACGTATTTTGTTTTGAGTACAGATAAATATATGTGCAACCTCAAGATCGGCAATATTTTTTTTTTTCAAAAAAAAATTAGATTCTCAAATGCAAACTACTTGGAAGCGGACATTAGCGTAACAGTTAGCGTAACAGATATGTTTGATTTAAACGTCTTATATTCCTTTTCTCTGATAATTGGTAGTTTTGTACATAAAAAAAAATATAACCTGCATTCTCCATTCTCCAGTAACTGGATAAACAAAAACTTGGTTGTTCATACTGTAATAAATTTTTTCCGGTTCGGAGTTCTGTGAGGTGTCAAAATATCGATTCAAATCCAACAAAAAAAAAAGTTATGAAAGAAATCAAAATTAGTTTCATTATAATACATTACTAATCTTTAAATTAATCTTTAAATTTGTTTGTTGAACTAGATACACAAAATGCAATCATGACGCTTGACTCCGTCATATAAAAGCACGAGATATAAGCCTTATTTCCTTTCCTACTTGTTTTCTTTTTTCAAATAAAATTGCCAAGAAAAGACATTCATTTGGTTATGAAGAACGTTACATTGGAAAACAAATAAACCTTTTTCCATAATTAAACATATAACGTGTACGTTTTTTTTATTTTTTAATATTTCTGTTTTACAAATATTAATTTTAAATTGATTGGAAATGCCGATTTTTTCAAATGAAAAAATTTTTTTGTCATAATATAACTATTTGTTTGTTAAATTATAATGAAATTAATTAAACCAATCGAATTTCAATGAAATGTAACCATATGAGGTATAATTAATAAAAAAAGTCATTTCTTGAATTGGTAGAAATAAATGAAAAAAAAATTTTTTGGTTTTTTTGAATTTATATTTAGTTTTAAAACGTTTAAAACGATGTACTAAATATTGCCATTACATAATTATAATTAAAAATTATGTAAAAAATTAAAATTTTTATACATAGATATATATATCCTACAAACTGAATTTTATACTTTTTATTTATTAATCTATAATTAAAATGATATTTAAAAATTTATTTTTTAAATATATTTTCAATAAAATATTTAGAAACATCTAAAGAATTTATTAAAAGAAATTTTATAATAATAGCGTCAATTTAAAGTAACTTTCTATAATTTAATAATTATTAATAGCTACTTGATATAACTGTCGTAAAAACCCATAGATATATTAAATAAATTAAATAAATATATATAAATATATATAATATCTATTGTAAAATAACTAAAGATGTGTTCGCATTGATAAATCCATTATTTGAAAAAGTATTCTAAATGAGTTTATTATTCACGTCTCAAGTAAGTAAAGCACACACATTTTGATTACCAATTCCTAGGATTAATTCAAATAAAATGAAATATTTTATTAAAGATAATACTATAACTAGTTGTAACAGATCCTATAAAAAATTTTGCATATATTTTTATAATTTTAAATAAGTTTTGTATACATCTTTTGAAATTCTGTATTAAATTTTCTTATATTTTATAAAAAATTATCTTTTAGCAATTTTTTTTTGTAAAAAATAATGTATAAGAAATTATTAATTATTAATATATAAAAATAATAAAAAAATATATTTTATTACATTTGAAATTGATTTATTTTATACATTAAAAAGTTTATATTAAAAACAGAAAAATTAATAATAAATTTGTTATAATTTATAAAATCGGTACTTGTTTACTATTATTATTATAAATAGTATTCAGACTATACATTGAAGACATCAGTATTTAAATAGCCTAAAAAAATTTAAGTCTCTAATCAATATTTTATATAAACTAGACCTTGTTACTCAAGATAGATATATAAGCTTAAAGTGATTAAAGTTCTATTTCTCAAAACATAAAAAAAATAAATTAAAAAATATTTGAAAAAATAGCAAAAAAAAAAGATTAAAAGAAAGAATAAAAAATTAAAAAAAATTTAAAAATAAAAAAAAAATAAAATAAAATATAAAAAGAAAAAAAAAATAGAATAATTAGTAATATAAATTTATCATAATATATTATTAAAAATAAATATTTTAAAGAATTATAAATCTGTTTTTTAAATTTAACTAAAAATATAATCTAAGTATTCTATTTATTACATAATCTATTTCATAATTCTTGTAATGTTTAGAGTTTCTTATAATAAAATAATATTTATTAGCTAAAATAAAATTAATGTTATATTTATAAATTCAAATAAATAATCTTTAGTAATATTAATACATATTAAATTTATTATCTTTACTTTTTTTGTAAAATTTACTAAAACTGAATCATCTCCTTAAAAGTATAATCTTAGTTTAAGCAATTTAAATATTTTAATTATTTGAAAAAGTTTTTATTTTGTTCTATAACTTTTTTATATAATTATATAAGCAATTAATTATACTTTTATTTTACTTAAAATTACATTTACCTACTACAAATTATTAGTTTATTAATATATACCTAAAATTAATTATAAATTTTAGGATTAGTATTATTTAGTAGTTAGAAATCCTTATAAATATTAAATAATAAATATAAGTTTATTAAGTCTAATGATCTGAATAATTGTCTAGATATTAACTTATTATAAAAGAAAAAAAATGTAAAATTTTTTATTAAGATATCAAAGTTAAAATTTTATAATTTTTTTAATTATATTTTTAATATATTCTAATGATACTAAATGAAATTGAAATATTTAGTTATTTATATATATAAAATCAAAATTAAAATCTAAAAGTTAAAATATTTTAACTTAAAGGTCATGATTAAAATTAAAAGTCAAAATCAATTATGATGATCAAAATCAATTATAATAGTCAAAATCAATTATAATAATTAAAATGTATTATGATAATTAAAAGTTAAAAAATATTTTTAAAATATTAATAAAATATTTATAATATTATATTAAAATTAAAAATAATAATAATAATATTATTATTATTATTATTATTAAAATAATTATTTATTTATAAATTAATATAAAAATTATTATTATTATTATCAAAATTTGATATTTCTTCAATAGCTACTCTTATATTTACTTTTAATACTCTTTGAAATTCTTGATTATTAAAATCAAAATAATTTTCTATAATTATTTTATTATTTATTTCTGATATTTCTTTTTCATTTTTATTAAAATCATTTTTATCATTATCATCGTCAATATTATTATTATTTAATTCTTTTTGTTATTTTTCAATTTCTTCATTAAAAATTCTATAATATTTAAATTTTGATTAATTAATTAAAAAAGTTGTTCTTCAGTAAAATCTAAATTGACATAATTTATTTCTGTTTTTACATTTGTTACATAATAAGTATATAATTTAGCTATTACTTCTATTAATTTAATATTTAAATTATAATTTAATATAAAATTATTTAATTAAAAAAAAATAAAAATAAAAATTACTTTGTTTAATGTTTTGAGTACATACATCTTAAAACTAAAAAGATTTTTTCATAATCAATATTATATGATATTATAAATAATTTTTAATACTAATTTTTGAATAAAATTATTCTTTTATTCTATAATATACTATCAAGTTTTTATACTATATAATTCTGATATATATAAAAATTCATAAGATTTTATTTGGCTTTTATAAACTATAAATTAATTTATTAAATAATTAAATAAATTTTCTTTATCACCTATAGAAATCTAAAATTTAATAGTTAAATAGCAAACTTTCTTAAAATCTTCTTGTTTAAATCCTTTTCTTAAAATAATAATAATATTATTAATATATATATATATATATTAAAAATTATTAAAAATTATTAAACATATCTTAATATAATAGATGTAAAAGATAACTTAACAAATTTAAAGCTATTTTAAATTCATTAATTAAAGAAAATA